AATGCTCAGAAATGGGCACCAAGTCCCTGCATTCATTTACCAATACGGAGAAACTATTTTGTACTCAAATAATGAGTGAGAAAGATATCTAAATTCCTTGCAAATCTCTATCAAACTCTTTTTGGATGATCCATCTACTTTGAAAGCCTTCTTAAGAGAAAAATAAATGCTGTGTAGGTGTATGAGAGAGTGTGTGTGTCTGTGTATTTGTGTATCTTCTGGTGCAACTGTGGGAACAATAGGGCTGGAGTGTACTAATGCATTTCTGTTTTAATGTGCTGTCTTTATCGGCAGCAGAGGTAAATATCTCATAGTATGTCGCTACTCTTCTTGAGTGGAGGGAGGCAAGCAATCTTTTCTTATAGTGTATTCCCCTTTTCTAAAGGTATGCTTACCCAGCAGTAAAGCTGGTAGAGTTATTATATTTTTACCTGCAGATAATGTTTCTTTCCTGCCTTCCTTCACTAGTGAGTCTTTTAAAATAGAAAATATTTATGAACTCTGAATCCTTTTGGAGGAAGGGTTAGAAAAATATTAAATGAATATATCTGTTAAAACTTGAATGGCATCATGCATTTTAAAAATCAAAATATTCTTTTTTTAATATGTAAATGCATTTTCCTTATGTGCTATGAGAGGAACTTAACCATTTACTTTTCTGTTTTTAGAGACTTTCTTTTACCTGAACTAAGATGTATTAGAGAGGAAGAAAAATATATCCTAAAAGTCGCATTCTGGTGTTTTGTAAAAATTCTTGTAATCAGAAATGTTGATGTTTCTTTTCCTCCTGATCATCTAATATTCCCATGTCTATGCTGAATCTGTATATCTTCTGTAGTAAATATTATCTGTGGGGGCTTGTCATATTTTTTCAGGGGCTTTTGATTTTTCAGGGGGCCTTTGATTAATCCCATTTTAAAATTTACGTTTGTTTTGTAACATCCTCTATTTTCAGACTCTTTTTTGTCATCTATACATTGGTCTCATGTGTTCGGTGCTATATTTATAGACTATAAATGCTCTTTAACAACAAATATTCCACAAACAAAAACTAGGAACTAATACTTTGATTGAAGCTGTTAATAGGTATTATAAAAATATAAGAATAATTGTACTGAAACTAACAGATTAGCCATATGTATTGGTATCTAGTGGATACCAAACGTGGATGCCAATAGGATCCATTAGATGCCAATTCATGTACCTAATCTGTCAATGATCTCTAATTGATATGTGAATGTATATTTATAGAAGAATGTAATAGTTGCTTCCATGATATCTACCTCTGGATACTGAAGTTAAGGCATCCTCAAATGCTTTACTAGGTCATTATTTATCGGTTATTAAAAAATGTATCCTAGTTCGCTTAGTTTATGTAATGTTATAATATGCTCTGAGGCACAGATATCTTAGTTATAGAATGTAAAATCTTAACTACTATTTGATCCTCTGGAAAAAGGTTTGAACTGGCAAAAGGCACTAATGCTCTCCATTCAGAAACTATTTAGGGAATTAGGCAGCTGCTGTCCTTGGTGATGAAATTATTTCATGTAAATTCTTAAGGAAAACAACTAGTTAAAAAAACAGGATAATCTTGAATATACTATTTGTGGCTACTATTTGTATCTTCATAGATCTATTTGAACTTCTAGAAAAATACAGACTCCAGTATCTTAAAGTCTTGAGTTCCTGACTGCCAGGCAGAGGAAATGTTTAACTATTCTAATCATGTTTCTGTATCTCAGAAAGAAAGCCCTTATGAGAGGAAATGACAACGTCCTACCACAAAGTTATCTCTTATCAGTTATAGTGGCAGTCGATGATGATTTGTCAAATTTGGACATGTGTAAAATGCAAGGGCTGTGTTATTTTCTTTGGAAAGGAAAAATTAGATGAAGCTGATAATAGAAGGAGTCATGGCTTTTGTTAGGAGACAGAAACTATTAGAAACAGTTATTGTTAGCTTAAGAAAGTGTCCTTGGACCCCTCCCTCTGCCCCAGCTGAAACCTAAACCTCCTTGAATCATTCTTTGCAACTTGAGGGGAGGGAGGGTCAAAGAAAAGGAAGAAGTATGAATACAGCTTTGACAGAGAGTTAGCATTTTAAATGGTGATCAAGATGTGGACCTTAAAACAGACCCATTTCTGTGAGTCAGGAAAAACTTCATTTTTTTCTGATACTCTTCCCCGCCCCTATTTATTTAGATTTTTGAAAGTTCACTTCTTATTCTTCCCAACCTGTAGCATTCCTTCACAGCCAATGTATGTTGCTCTTCTCCTTTTGCCTTTCTGTAGTTGTGATTCTTTTTCATTAGTGGCAGCAGAGAAAACACATCTCACTCTAAGCAACATGAGTCAGTGCATACTTTACATACCTTTATCCTCACAGCACTCTTCTTGGTTCCTCATGGTGTTCATTCCTAGTGTTCTTCACAGAGGGGACCATAGAGGAAAAATGATTTCTAAATGTTAGGCTATTTTGGGAGTAGAGGTAAAGGTTGTGAACGGAAGCCCCATTTTACTCGCTTCTCTTTTTGTCTAGATTTCTGTGTACTGCTTTCAAAGCAGGCAGTCTTGTGCTTAGGAAGACTTAACTGGATGGTGGTTCCAGTGGCTAAGAAATAATAGAGACAATACTTACAAGTCAGAGCACTTTAGCCTGTTTGAAGCTAATAGAATGATGTCACAATAGCCTCAGAGAGAATAGATTTGGTTGTAAGTATTTGTTGGAGATGACAAAAAAAGGCCTTTTTCTCCTTTCTAAATGTATCAATTTTTTTTAATAGTATGCCCACATAAACCAGTCTTAGCCCATTAGTAACAAAATGTCTTTGTTATGGGGCTCTGTTAGCTTATTTATCACAGATTTTTAGGGAAATTTTCCCTTAATTTAGATGTTCATTCTGCAAGGGTGGGTCTGACATGTAAAAGGGCTAAGGCCTTGTCTGAGGAATGGCTACAAGCAGTTTCCTTTTGAGTGAAACTATGGTTCTGAGACGAAGTTAAACAAAATAAACTGCGTGAAGAAGAATATATAAACAAAATTATGATTGAATTTGCTACTCAAAATTATGTAAGAAAAATTCTTTAAACTTTTTGTAAATATGTACCAGAATTTAAAAATTATTAATTCTAAATAAAAGAATGTGTCATTTCCTATACAGATCAAACTTTTAAATATGTTTTCTTCTTGTCTTTTTTCATATGCATGTGTAGTTTTTATATAGTTTAAATACTATTGTGAATATCATGTTTGATGTTTTAACATTTTTCTTCTTTTGAGAATGTGTTTTGCTTAGCTGTAGGCTCTGGTTTTTTGGCAAGATAAAAGAAATTTTCCTCATATTTTGGCAAGATAAAATAGGCTCTGGTTTTCTGTCAAGATAAAATAAATTTCCTTTAGCTCTCTACTTTGCAGTCCAAAAGAGGAGACTGTAAAGATGTTTTAGTGTTGTGATTATTTCAAAAAAGAGTACCTAAAATGATCACCTGTGGACTCTTTGTGTTATTAAGATGAAAACGAGTGTCCATTTGCATTCATACAATTTTTATATGCTATTTAATCTTACTCTTTTTAAACTGCATGCTGCACATCTGTCCATATTTTTTTTCAGTAATTTGCAATGCTCATTACCTCTTCGTAAAGTTTTTTTTTTTTTTTTTTTTTTGGTAAAGTTATTCTTGGGCCATGCTGTAGGATGTTGACCATCTTACTATCAGTTTTTAGATTCACTTAAAAGTTTGTTGTGTGCTTACAGAGTATATAGTGCTATCAAGGAACTTAAAATATAGAGATTTAATATTTGCTCTCATGGGTGTGAAGCAGATGAACAGAATAGTCAACAAGTTTGAACCCATAAATATAAAGGTGTGATGGTTCCAGAGGGAAAAGAACGTAGGTGTTGTGCTGTTGAATTTTAGAATTAGTAGATTTCATTAAGAAAAGTATCTTGGTAAAGAAGCTATGCCCCAAAAGAAGAAATGAGATTTACTGTATGAAATAAGAGAAAATGACCTTGTAATTATGAATCAGCCCTACCCAAATTAGATATGCCTGCTGCTTATATTCTGATGAATTGTGTAGTTACCAGTGTTACAGTAAAAACTGGCAGGTCTTTATTTTGAATACTTCTTTATGTAATTTTTTCATTTTCTTTTTGTTTTATTTTGTTCAACATTTACTTTCAATATTTCCTTTTATTCTTGTTAAATCTCTATAAATCAGCTGATTAGTTCTTTTTTCAACTGAGGAAATCGAGCCCAAAGTAAATCGTGAATTACTCTTGTCAAATCACATAGCAAATCAGTTTTAGCATTGAAACTAGATTCCAGTTCTTACCTGATGTTTTTTTCTTTTACTTTCTCTTTTGATATCTAGGTTTAATTAACATACACTATTCACATTAAAATCCATTGGTATTACTTCTTGGTTTGACTTTTCCATTCTTTTGTCTTATTTTTCACATAATCTCCCCTCTTTTCGTAGCATATTTCCGATTTTGATTGCATGTTGACTTAAGTATTGATTAATTCTTGTGTTCTTCAGAAGTTGGCTGGCAGGCCGTGATTCATATTGTGTGGCAAGTTTTGTTTTTAACTACTAAAACTTAGTTTTTTATGTAAACTCTCATATCTTTTAGAAAAAGTCGTCATGAAAGGTACATTCTCACATTGTTCTTATTTTCCCTTTAGAGTCCCATGGCCAAAGATGTATCTCTAAAGGCAAATGCAGGATTGGTGCCACCTGTTTCTCTTCTCTGCTACCCATCCTTGTGGGCTTTGTCCCAGCCTTGGTGTATATCTTCACAGTTTATTAATTCTATGGCTCAAACATAAGAACTAGGTCTTTGGAAACCTATTTCTTTGTTTGTTTTATATTTCTCACTTAGAAGCTAGAACTGGCCTTTATAAAAAGAACCAAACACTTGAGTAGTAACAATTAAGGTAGTTGCTTTTAATAGCTTTGTTTGAATTTTTTTGTTGTAATCTTGTATTTGCAGGTACCTGGGGCCCAAGATTTGGTGGATTTCTCTCCAGTTTATCGATGTCTACACATATATTCTGTCCTGGTGAGTCTTTATCTGGCTCTGCCTAGTAAAGATGTCCATTGAGTTCAAAACTTTGCTTTCTTAACTTTTGGTAGTTTTTCTGTTTTTTATTAAGAGTGAAAAATGAGAAAACTCTTCTTGTTTAAGGACTGTTAATTATAAAAAGCAATTTTGAATCTCTTATGTTTTTATGTAATATGCTATGGCTAGTGACATTTCTCAGTCATCAATAAATCAGTAGCTTATAACTAGAAGTAGTCATACACATCCAGATTTCTGTTTTTAGTTTAATAATGTAATTATTTAAATAACAATATTCTGTCTTTACACATTAAAATAGTATTTGTGAAAATGTTTACTTTTTTATTCCTAATGACAATTATTCCTTTTGTCATGTAAAGCATATGGAAAAGGGAACCTCTCTGTGTGGGGGATATTATAGATGTTAATAATATTCTAAGAAATGATCCCTTTCGCCATTTTGGTAGTACACTCACATGCAGACACATAGATACACAGAAAGTGAATCAAAAATTAAACTGTAGCAACCAAGACAAATTGGTGAGAGAAGCCTATTATTGATTTTTTTTTTTACAGAAACTTTCACTGATGCTTGTATCAGGTTGTTTTTAATATGTTGAAGTATGTCTTATTGCCCAGTCTCTTATCAATTTTTCTTTGTGTGTGTGTGTGTGTGTATGTGTGTGTGTGTATATATATATATATATTTTTTTTTTTTTCTTCTTTTTGAGACAGAGTTTTGCTCTTGTTGCTTAGGCTGGAGTACAGTGGTGTGACCTCAGCTCAGCACAACCTCCGCCTCCCTGGTTCAAGCGATTCTCCTGCCTCAGCCTCTTGAGTAGCTGGGATTATGGGCATGTGCCACCACACTCGGCTAATTTTGTATTTTTAGTAGAGATGGAGTTTCTCCATGTTGGTCAGGCTGGTCTTGAACTCCTGACCTCAGGTGATCCTCCGTCTGGGTCTCCCAAAGTGCTGGGATTACAGGTGTGAGCCACCATGCCCGGCCTCTTTGTTCATATATTTAACATAGTGTTACTTTGTCATTACTCCTGACAATTTGGGATACTGACCTATGGACTTTATGGTCTGAAGTATTTTGTGGTAGTTTTATTGGTTTGATTAAAAATCAGGTAGTTTCTTCTTCTCTCCCTCTTTCGCCCACTTCTTCATCTTCCTCTTTTCTTCTCTGTTTCTCTTTCTGTCTTCCCTCCCTTTACACTCCCTCTCTCTTAATCTACCATTCCTTTTTTTTTTTAAATAGGCAGTTAAAGTAGTGAATACTAAAAATAATAATAATGTGTAGCCTTATACTGTGATTTTTGTATTTACATTTGAATATAAGTATGTCTCACTAGTTTAAATGTCCATACTAGAATCACTCTAACAGTGGAGAGGCATTAGAATTAAATTTAATATTGCAGTAGCAGCAATTTCTCAGAAGACATTCTTTTTTTTTTTTTTTTGGTTTTATAAAGAAGCTCTGAATATCTTACTGCTAAAATAACATATACTCATTTAGAAATTTTCAAGTTACAAAAAGTAAATAAAACAAAAGACATGAAAATAAAATTATAATTGCCTACGATTTCACACCTAGAGACCACCATTATTTATGTTTTATGTATTTACATCTAATATTTTCAGACATTTTTAACAAAAATAAAATTCATATTGTCTGATATACGTACAATTCTTTTTTTTAAAAAAGATTTATTTTAGGTTTAGGGATACATGTGAATGTTTATTACATAGGTAATCTCATGTCACAGGGGTTTGTTGTATAGATTATTTCATTACCCAGGAATTAAGCCCAGTACCCAAAAGTTATTTTTTCTGCTCCTCTCCCTCTTCCCATCTTCCTCCCTCCACTCTCAAGTAGACCTTATTGTCTGTTGTTTCCTTCTTTGTGTTCATAAGTTCTTGTCATTTAGCCCCCACTTATAAGTGAGAACTTGGGGTATTTGTTTTTCTGTTCTTGCATTAGTTTGCTGAGGATAACAGCCTTCTGCTCCATTCATGTTCCTGCAAAAGACATGATCTCATTCTTTTTTATGGCTGCACATGTACCATTCCTTGTTATATAAAGGTCAGGCCAAATGTAGATTGAATTGTATCAAGGCATCTAAAACAAGTCGACAATCTTTTTCAATCACAAGTATAGATAAGAAATCATATACATCTTAGACTGTGACACTTTATTATCAATTCATAAAGGTCCCCCTCTTGTATTTTATTTTGTTTTATTATATTTTTTCCATTCATTCATTGTTTACAAGCCCAGTTGTCTTTCATCTCCAAGAATAATAACACTAATAAATGTAATATATGGTCATAGATGTGTAAATATCCTTGAAAAATGTATAGTGATTTGTATATGTATGTGCTTTTAATTTACTCAAATGCTGTTGCGCTATGGTTCTAGTTTGCATTTCTCTGGTTATTAGTCAAAATTGTGGTTTTCTTTATAGACTAGTGGATCTTTTCAGATTTTTTTCTATAAAGTGCTTATTTTTAACCTTTGTCCATTTTTTAAAATCGGGTTTCTTATTTTTTTCCCTCTTTTCTGAAAGAGTAATTTCAGAAATTCCTCATATATTGTAGATACTGACAGTTTAGAATGTTTAAAATGTCCTTTTTTCATAATTTGTCACCAGACTCTAAACTATGTCTATGTTATGTTCAGTGAAACAGAAATATTTAGTTTCCATGTAATCACATCCATCAATTTTAGCCATATAAGTTTATACTTTTGAGTTTTTTTTTTTTTAAATACCTCTTTATCCTGCTGTCACAGAGTATTTACTTTATATTACGTTTAATATTTTACCATTTACATTTTCATCTTAACCCATCTTGGGTTCATCATTATATATAAGGGGACTTTAGAAAGTTCATGGAAAAAAGAAACTAAAACATAAAAATAAAAAATATAAACTTTATTTTTCAACAGAAGCTCCATCAAGTTTAAGACACTTTGGTAAGCAATTATACCAGCCATTTAGCCCATCTCTAAAGAACTGAGGATCCTAGAAATTTAACCATGTCAATGTAGTCTTTTGTACATTATTAACTGAAGAAAGATAGTTGCCCTTTAAAGGCGTTTTAAAACTAGGAAACGAAAAGAAGTCAGAGCAAGCTAAATCAGGACTGTAAAGCGAATGTCTAATGATTTCCCATTGAAACGCTTACAAAATTGCCCTCATTTGATGAGGGGAATGAGCACAAGCGTTGCTGTAGTGGAGGAGGACTATATAGTGAAGCTTTCCCAGGCATAGTTCTGCTAAAGCTTTGGCTAAAAGTCTTATAATAAGCAGATATTATTGTTCTTTGGCCTTCCTGAAGGTCAACAAGAAAAATTCCTTTAGCATTTCAAAAATCTGTTGCCTTGACCTTTGCTCTTGACTGGTCTGCTTTTTCTTTGACTGGACTACTTTCATCTCTTGGTAGCCATTGCTTTGATTATGCCTTGTCTTCAGGATTGTACTGGGAAAGCCCTGTTTCTCTTCTGCCACAGTTCTTCAAAGAAACTGTATTAGTCTGTTGTCACACTGCTATAAAGAATACTGCTTGAGGTCGGGTGCAGTGGCTTATGCCTGTAATCCCAGCAGTTTGGGAGGTTGAGACAGGTGGATTGCTTGAGGTCTGGAGTTTGAGACCAGCCTGGGCAACATGGTGAAACTCTGTCTCTACTAAAAGTACAAAAATTAGCCAGGCGTGGTGGTGGGTGCCTGTAATCCCAGCTACTTAGGAGGCTGAGGCAGGAAAATTGTTTGAACCTGGGATGCAGAGGTTGTAGTGAGCCAAGATCATGCTACTGCACTCCAGCCTGGGCAGCAAAACTGGGGATTCACTCTGTCCCTTGAAAGCTGTGTAGAACTCCAGCAAAAGAAACTATCATCAGAGTGAACAGGCAACCTACAGAATGGGAGAAAGTATTTGCAATCTACACATCTGACAAAGGGCTAATATCTAGCATCTACAAAGAACTTAAACACATTTATAAGAAAAAAACAAACAACACCATAAAAAGTGGGCAAAGGATATGAACAGACACTTCTCAGAAGAAGACATTTATGCAGCCAACAGACATATGAAAAAATGCTCATCATCACTGATCATCAGAGAAATGCAAATCAAAACCACAATGAGATACCATCTCATGCCAGTTAGAATGGTGATCATTAAAAAGTCAGGAAACAACAGATGCTGGAGAGGATGTGGAGAAATAGGAATGCTTTTACACTGTTGGTGGGAGTGTAAATTAGTTCAACCATTGTGGAAGACAGTGTGGCAATTCCTCAAGGATCTAATATTAGAAATGCCATTTGACCCAGTGATCCCATTCCTGGGTATATACCCAAAGGATTATAAATCATTCTACTATAAAGGCACATGCACAAGTATGTTTATTGTGACACTGTTCCCAATAGCAAAGACTTGGAACCAACCCAAATGTCCATCAATGATAGACTAGATTAAGAAAATGTGGCACATATACACCATGGGATACTATGCAGCCATAAAAAAGGATGAGTTCATGTCCTTTGCAGGGACATGGATGAAGCTGGAAACCATCATTCTAAGCAAACTATCACAAGCACAGAAAACCAAACACCTCATATTCTCACTCATAGGTGGGAGTTCAACAACGAGAACACATGGACACAGGGCAGGGAACATCACACACTGGGGCCTGTCAGGGGGTGGGGGGGGTCTGGGGGAGGGATAGCATTAGCAGATATACCTAATGTAAATGACGAGTTGATGGGTGCAGCAAACCAACATGGCACATGTATAGCTGTGTAACAAACCTGCATGTTGTGCACATGTACCCTAGAACTTAGGGTATAATAAAAAAATGAAAAATAAAAAAAAAGAAAGTTGCGTAGAGCTCACATATGCAATGTGAACTCACTCAAGAAAAACACTACCTGAGACTGGATAATTTTAAAGAAAAGAGGTTTAATTGACTCACAGTTCTGCAGGCTTAACAGGAA